GTGTGAAGATGAGCTGTTCATCGATGAAACACATGAGCTTGTCAATATTGAACCAAAAACTGTGATCAAAATCATCTCTTTTTTCACTGCTCAACAATGCTACCTCTACGCAACTTTTCCATTTTTCACCACCACCAAAAAATACCACTGTTAACTATTTTCATCATTTGTACCTTCTTCACATTTGTTTGTGCAGTCGTTTCCATTCCGGGCGTCATCAACTACGATCCCGACGAGACGGCCAGCTTCAGCGAGCTTATCAACTCTAAGGGTTACCTGTTAGAAGAGTACCACGTGTTGACAGAAGATGGGTACATCCTCACACTGCACCGAGTGGTCCCGCCCGGCTACGACCCATCCACCTACTCTCTGACCCGAAAACCGGTCCTAGCAATGCATGGCATCTTCAACGACGCCACCTACTTCTACTACAACTCGCCTCATCTGCACTCCAACAACTCCTACTGCGGCGACAACTTAGGCTTTTGCACGTTAAAGTCAGGCCGATATGATCTGTGGGCGGCAAACTCCCGCGGCAATGGCCGCAGCACCGGCCACCTTCGATACACCGAAAAGAATAAGGAATTTTGGAAGTTCAGCTGGGACCACATGGCCGAGTACGACCTGCCGGCGCTGATCGACTTTATCCTCGCCCGGACCGGGCACCGGACGCTGGGCTACGTCGCCTTCAGCCAGGGCTGTGCCCAGGCGTGGGCGATGCTTTCGCTGAAGCCGAGCTACGCCTACAAAATGCGGCCTTTCATCAACTGGGCACCGGCGGTGTTCATCGGCCGGGCGACCTCGCTAATTGGCGAGCCCCTCCGCCGCCTGTGGCCAATCGGCATGCCGCCCGGTCGCTTCTATCCAATTGGCAATCAGCTCTCCAACTCACTGCAGCAGTGGTACATCTGCAGGACAGAGGCGGGCGCCGCCTTTTGCAGCCGCCTCATTGACTCGCTTTTTGGCAAATCGAATGTCAACATCACCCGAATTCCGACGTACGCCAACTGGGGCCCCAACCCCTCCTCCAACTGGCAGGTGGCTCACTTCGGGCAGAATGGACAGGCGGGACGGTTTAGGCGCTTTGATTACGGCTCCACAGGTGCAAATATGGCCAAATACGGCTTACCGACGGCGCCCGACTATCCGTTAAAAAGGATTCCGAACGGCTTCAAGGCGGTGGTAATGTACGGCGCCAGTGATGCGGTGGTCGTTCCGCGGGACATTCAGCAGCTGTTGGGAGAGCTGCGGGCAGCGGGCGTCGACGTGACGCCCCACCTGGTGCCCAGCAGCACCTGGAGCCACTGGGACTTTATGTTGGGACTGAATGCGGGCCTCTACGTGCATGATGACACACTGCACTACTTAGACATGTACTCGGTTAATGATCACGTCAGCCTGAGAAGCGGTGCTGGCGTCCTGACGCCCTTTTACACTAGCTACCTAGGGTACTCGTATTTGTAGAATAGTCTTTTGTTGTTGCATTTGCCTTTTTTGTTGTACAGTATTTTGCTTTTTGATCATTTTGATATTAATTTTTTTAGTTTAAAGTTTTGTGAAAATACTTTTTTTCATGTGAATAAATTGCCAAAAGTGCTCAAAAAAATATTGATTGTAGTGTCATTTTTCTAGGTTTTTTTGTTATGTGAAAACTTTAATCTCTTTTTCAAAAAATGATATAAATTTTGTTTAAATAAAAAAGTTTCACAACACTGCACTTTGTTTTTAAAAGTTGCAAAAACTTTATTTAATTTAGTAGAAAAATGTTGTCAGATTGCACTTCGCAATTTTTAAAATGGAAAACTTTAAAAATAATTTTTGGCCTCGATTTTGTCAAAAACTTAAACAACAACTGCAATTTTGTTTTCAACTTCTGAAAACTATATGCTTCCCTTTCAAAACAATCCACTATTTTGAGCAGTACATCAAACTGGTCAAAAGTTTACAGCAACCTAAAAACCAAAAAAGTCGACGCAAACTGTACGTCATCATACTTTTCTTTATCCTAATCTCCTTCAGTTTTCCTTTCCTTTACACTCGAAAAAAATACTCTACTGTAGAGCACCTTTTGGCGGTCAACATGTACTACCTGCTTATGGGACACCACCAGTTTAACGTCATGGTTTGTCCTATTTATCATCTTATTTGCTTCAACACGACCACACTGCTGTTCCCTAGCAAAGAGTGTACCAGGCTAATGGACTTGCTTCAGAAAATTCTAATTCTGCCTGTTAATAATGCATCTAAAAAAATTAATAAAAACTTTTCAAACTATCGTTCTGCAAGAAAACACGTTAAAAAGTGGTTTCTTTTTGTACTGAACTCCTTTCACTCTTTCACGCTTTTTTCAGGTTAAACTTTTTTTACCTGTTTAACAATTAACTTATTTTTATTTTTTAGACGGATTGTTTTTTT